TGGACCAGGCTTACTTGTGGATAAACACGATTACTCATCGCTTCTAATTTGACAGGCACGAGTTCTAAGCCTGGCACTTGCAGTTCAAACAAATTATAGACGGACTATAAACTAATGAATTTCAAAATTTGATTATTCCTAAGACCACTGATAATGAGTACTTGGTACTCACATCAATAAATTAAATAAATTTTTGTGTTTGTCCTTTCTTTTTTTGCTATTCTAAAATGCTCTAAATTTTAAAAAATAGTTTCTTTGTCATTATAAGTTGCTTAACTTTTTCCGGCAACACTAATAAAAACTTTAAAAATTATTATTATTATAATATTAATATTTATATATTTCATAAATATTATATTTTTATGACGGAAATAATGGAAATAACTAAAAGTTTTATTTATGAGCTGAGTATTTTCAACTCCTAAGCACCAATCTACAATCATGGAATTATACATAAAACTATTAAGATTTACTAAGGCAATAACATTAACAGCCGAGAATATACATTGTATGATAAAAAAAATCTGTAGTATTTTTAAATAAAATTCTTGCAGATAATTTAATAATAATAATTAATGAAGAATCAATTTCAACCAAGTATAAATTGGCAAGTATTATTTATAATCTTTTGCCATTTTTCAGATAGTTTCATAATCAATTTAGAACTTTTGTGGTTTATCGACGGAAAGCTTGACAAAACTATTTTCAGTGACTTTCCTGTCAGCCTGTACTTTTTAAATAAATTCAAAAGTGTCATGTAATTGATGTCTAGTGCCATAGCTATCACCTGGCAGCTTGCATATCACCCATGCTGTATCAGTTAAAAAATTTCATTGATTTTTTAATGACTTTTTTAAAAACCAGAGAAAATGAACCATACTTTGGTCAGTTGTTTGTAAAGTATCACGTTTTCTTCATTTCTTCAGATATTTTACTCATTTTCAAAGCAATATAAATTTTCATACGAGCAATGAATCACACGAGTTCTTTAGAAAAAAAATTAAACTTAAATGTCACCTTTGAAGCGCATGTTCTTTTAACATAATCGGATTAGTGTTGCCCTATATATAGGTACCAGTGGTACATCGAATCACAAAAAACTGCCAGTATTTTTTATGTTATACCTAATATTATTATTTTTCTACAGTTTTATAGATCAAATGGATATTCTTTCCGATAGATTAGTAATTAAGTTGACGAAAAATATTGGTAGTATATACGACCATTAATTATAAAAAAATCTAATAGGTTTATTTAAGATAAAAGATAAATATACAAATATAAATAAATAGTTTGAAAGAATTTTTTGAAATATTCATTTAGCTGGAACAGTTAATTAAGGAAGGTGACCCTGCAGTCTTACATTGAAAATATATTGGAATATATATATAAAACAGAATAGATATCCAACTAACCTAACAACTAACAAAAATTTATAAAGAAATTAGAAATAAGGAATTAGAAGTTAATATAAGAAGAATTTTACTTTCTAAAACAAATAGGAACATATGGAATTTCCGATTGGTAAATCTGGATTCAATCTAGATTTACTCTTGATCTGTCAAATTTTGTCGCCCAATCGAATGTTTTTAGAATAATCTAATATTTTTGTAATAGTGTTGGTGGACATTTATATTTTTAATAAATACATACGTCGAACCAAATAATACTCTATTTGTTGAGTTATATAAATCAGCTGTTAATTTTATGGTAACCTTGCTACTCTGGCAAAATATCTAGATTATTATAAATTAATCTCAAGTGTTATACATTTCGCCTAAGATTTATCAACTGAAAACGAAAATTGTACTACTAAAAGTGCATTAAAAGAGCATTTCGATTGAAAAAACGACCTCAGATTTACCAATCGAAACCGACGATTTATTAAGGAGATTTGTTAAAGAAACATGACGATACCCTATTATTAGAAAATTGACTTCAATATTTAATAGTTTTATATATAAACAGTATTATAAAAGATATTATAAAACAAAATTTAATAAATTGCTCTTTTAAGTGACAATTTAACATATATGTCGTCACTTTCTGGAAAACTAAAACAATGGAGGAGAATAAATAATTGTTCATCGTATGGAGATGCCATCTTTCAGCTTAACAAGAAATACTATCTATTAGTTAAACAGTGAAAAATTGTGTTATTACATGTCACTAGATATAAAAATTCATTAAACATTTATTCAATTTTCGCATAAAATCACTGAATTTGTCTCATAACGACAGATTGTCAAATTAACTTTTTAATAACCAAAGAAAAATACCGAATACTAAGTAAGCAAAAATGAAAGTCACTAAAATTTAGATGTTTAACACTTAGTTAGTTACACATTTTAGCATATCATTAAAAATGTTTAAAAATCGATAGTTTATAAAATGCTATAATACAAAGAATTAATTATACCATATAAGTACATCGATACGGATCTTTAATAGTGTGAAAATGTTAATTTTGATAGATTTAATAAGTGAAATATCTTCCTGAAATGAAAGTATGAAAGTCTTAATGGAAAACTTTACAATTTTTAATAAAATCTGAAGGAGTTATAAAAGCATAATACAATATATATAGAATATAACAATCTTAATTGCTTATAGATAAGCGGCATTAAGTTTCTATTTGTTTTAATCTTCGTATTTAATCCGACTAGATAAAAACACTTTTTTGTTAATATAATTTTTTGTTGTGAATTTATTAATATTTTTCGCTTTACTATAGTATTGTTATTATAGTAATTGATAAGTGCAGTTACTTAATTTTTGATGCAAGATAAAAACACAATAAAATTTTAATAAAGAAAATTTAATTAAATTAAAGAAATATAGAAAAGGGACTAACCCGTTAAATGCAATAAAATTGTATAATTAAATTGAATTTTTTAATTAATGTTCGAAATTTAAATATAAATAATAAAGAAACTTTTTACTTTTGCTTATGGAAACCTTGATTAACCTTTACGCACAATAGCTATTTATATAATATTCAATTATTTTCTATTTGTAATTTTTTTTCAGTTACTTATTATATATACTTCTTATTTGAGTTAAATCTAAAACAATTGTATCATTATAAATGCAAACTTATTTCACACAGAGCCTTCTAATTATTATAATCTTACTGTCTCACTTATTTAGCCATAACAAACTGTTATCGGGTTTTGGTCTAACGCAGAATTTCCGCCCAAACGCTTCTACTGCATACAAACTTCTCTAGTGTCGTACATCAAGTGCGGTTAGTTCTCCTTCAGCTTGATTACTCCACTGCAGACAGTGGAAAGCCTTTCAATGCATCTTTTTCCTCCAACTGCCAACCAAAAGCAACACTAACTTCGTACTTGTCAATAATTTCGAGGATGAACATATCGTTGTTAACTTTAATCAAAAAATTTTTACTAAATAAATTTGTTTTCCGGAAGTATCAGAAAGTCCCTGCCTTATAAAATTGATATTATCAATTTCGTTGGCAGTTTTGTATGCTTTGTGTACATTAGAAATCACACGGTCAGATTATTCATATATTTAAAAAATATATTATTTGGTTTATCCATATAAAAAGGGAAATTATAGAAAAGAAGAAATTGAGAAGTTTTGATTTTTAAAATGTAAGCTATAGAACCATAATTGGAGTTACATGCCATTAAATCAATATATATACAAAATTTATATTTATACAATGTACAATCCAACTTCCATAACTCGAAGTACCATTTTGCAAAGTAAAGGGTCCACTTATGGAGACTTTGAGTTAAAGAATTGTATGTAATTTGGTCTCTAAATCATGTTGCACTCTATTTAGGTCGGGTTATAGAAATTTCGAATTATAGAAGTTCGAGTTATGGAAGTTTGACTGTCACACTATATATAAATTTATACTGAACTGAACTAAAAACTGAGTACACAGAGTGTTTTATAAGACTTGACTCTATAAAATTTTAAACGTTTTGATATAGAACTCATGAAGATACTATTATAGGCATAACTTGTAATATAAAAAATATGCATATATTTAAAAAAAAATTGTAAATTATAAAAAAATTAAAAATTATATTTAAACAAAACATAATTATTTAAATTATTATTATAACATTTGTCTGACTAAAAACAGTTCAATTATTAGTTTACTCTACTGTAATTACACTTAAAAACAAAAATGATTTAAATCATAAATTATATTATTTCGCAATATTATATAAAAAAGTCTGGGCAATGACACTTGAAAAGATTGTACTTGAAATATATTTCCTGTCCGTTAAAAAATATTTATTTGTTTAACACGCACTACTGAATACTGTTGTTTTGATTAATAATTGAACAATATAGACTTAAATGACAAAATATATACTATTTTTAATTAAACATGACAAAAAAAGAATTATTTCAATTTTTTTTAAAACTAAAATTTAACATTAAATAAATTAAATAAATAAAATTAAATAAACTTATGGAAATCATAATAATCAACACATCAATTTAATATATTCTATTATATATATGAAAAAAATAGCTTTTTTTAAAATAATTAATGTTAAATAAATTCTAACTTATGGAAATCATAATAATCAACCCCGGGAGCAAATCAATTTAATATATTCTATTATATATAAAATGTGAAGAAAATAATTTTAATTTTAGTGAGGCTTCAATACCTTTCAAACAGATATTTTGGTTATTAATCAAAAATTTGGTAAATATTTAATGTTGTTTTCGCTATTATTTTCTATAGACGTTAAATTAGCGACCTCAATTTTATACATTTATTTAGTGAGGTGCCTAGATTTCCTAAAACTGTCTTTTTAAAGTCCTGCGATTAGCATAAAAACTGAAAGACGCTTTTTTATATTAACAAGATAATAGGCAGAGAAGAAAACTGGGTATATGGACAGTCAAATACGACGAATAAATAAACTAGGCAGTTAGAGAATCTAACAGACAGACAGACGTCACTATTTCAATACATTTTATCATTCCAATCGACATATTATAACTTATGTGGTTGTAGTGGTATGATTCTTAGTATTAGAAATATTTTTAATAATTTCATATTAATAATTATTAACTTGATATTATTAATTATTAACTTGATATTATTAATTATTAACTCGATATTAACTTTCAGTGATCTACGTGGAGTCCGTGGCTGATTCGCCTTTTAACTTAATATACTCTTCCCACACATTTTATACGAAAAGTATAGTAACTTATTTCTTTTATATTATCCTCATATCAAAACATTTAAGAAGACACTACTGTCATCATTTGAAGAAAATTGGCTTCAGATATGCATACATATTTTTTTTTACTGTAATTTTATTAGATTTTCATTTTATCCTTTTTTAAAAACACAATAAAATCCTTTCTAAATTTTACAAATACCCTTGACTTTATTTTTTGAACAATTCGCGCTTTTCCGTGAAGCTGCTGAGCTCGTTTTACTTGTTTGCTTGCCTAGCCAGCGAGATTTCAGTAGTTTTGTGGTTTTATTACCTGTTATTTGAATGTAAAGCAATTAAAACAACGACAGTTGACGTTACTTCGTTTAAGACAATTAACATGAAAGTAAAATTAAGTAAAAAGAAATTGAATTCATTTAATGCTCGTAACAGCTCTGTTATCGAAAGTGCGAAAACTGTTAAATTCCTACACGAACAGAAGCGCATATTGCACCAGCTCAGATTTGCTAAACCAATTGTTGGCAAAAAACAGAAACTGCACCTTTATTTAAACAATTTCATTTCGTTTTCCATTTGTTATAAACAATAACCAGAAAACGTATTCGCATATAAAAGTTAATTTTCAATGTGTTATAAATAAATAGAAAGTAAACCAATAAATAGCACTCACTCACTTAAAAAATATTTTATTTTTGCCGAAATTAGTTCATTGATACCCACTAAAAACCTATAATCAGTTCGCAACGATTATGAGATATTTGCAGATTGAGTCTTTCTACAGAAATACTATAGTATTTGTTGAGTTCGGAGATGATTATTGAAATAACTTAACATAGGAGGTAAAATTCGAAGATACTGAAACAGTAAATTTAAACAAACAACATATAATATTAGACTTTGAACAAGGCTATGTGAAATACGTACAGTACAAGTTGCAGATAACAATTGGTTAATTTAATTAAAAAAGAATTAAATCGTAAATTTCCACCGTAAATAAAATTAATTACAGTGTTTACAGTAGATGTTTAATTTAAAGTATTTACACAGCTCATTTGTTAAATGGTAAAATTCGTTAAATCAAATAAATGAAGACTTTAAACAGGAAAATATTGTAAGCTTTCAGTAGTCCAGTAGTTACTTTGAGAAAACACTTTAATTTGTTTACTTCTAGATGGTTTTTATTAATTTTTTATGGTTTGCTTTTGTAGGTCTTATAAAATTATAATTTTTATGTGACATACATTGTCTTTCGTAGACCATTGTATCCTTGACCATCCTTGATTGTTTCATAGCATTTTGGTGTGACATTTTAAGTATTATTTTAAAGAAAAATTGTATTTGTCTACAACAGGGCTGTCCAAAGTACGGACCACGGGCTTCGACATTTTTCTAATTTACTACAATTAAGCAAATTTATATTTTTTTATATTTTAGTAACATCACATTATTTTACTTTAATGGTATTCCAAATAAATGAATTAAAATATTTTAAATAATTTATACACTTCACTCTAATTTACTTAATTGACAAAGGCTTTAATATACTATATTAATTTGTACAACATTATTTTAAAATAAAATATTTAATATATATAATGCTAATAAAGTTAAAATTATAAAAGATAAAATAATGAAGAAATAATAAAAGTAAATTTATCATTCTCCGGAACGTATGTGTTTACTACTGCGGACGTCCATCCTATTTAGTAATTTGTATTAGCCCGCAATCTTATCTGGTTTGGACAGCCCTACTCACAGTAGTCATCAAAACATTGACTATGCTTTAACCCACTAAAACCGCCTCTTGGGAATGAATGGACAGCAATATGAAAAATCCATTCCTGTAATCAGGGGGGATAGATATGAGCATTAAGTTTAGTGCCTAGGGGACTAGGTTTATCTAAGCCAGAAAGCATGGGCATAGCGTAAGTAGATAAAGAGTAGATAGTGGAATTGACTATGCTATCATTACGCATTCATTATATAGTATCGTTAATGAAACGATTTCTTTAGTCGTTCAATTGGATACTCGTTAAATTGAATATTTAGTATATATAATGATTATTGAAATATTAATTAAGCATGATAATAATATCGTATATCCCATAAAGATGTCGTTGATCTTCATAAATATCGAGCATTGTTAATTGTTAATAATATCGAGCATCGTTAAACAGTATTATATTGTATATTTTTTTATACAAATCTTAAGCAAGGCATAACTAATCGCCTTCAATAGAAGGTTAAGTTTCGTAGAAAGTTAATTCATAAAATATATATTAAATAATTATTTTTCATATTTAGTTTAAAACTTTTAACATTATAAACTGTAATTGTACATGAAAAATGTAATCACTTCAAATACAGAAATTTATTTGTAGTCATCATTCAGAAATTTTGGTAGTTTCGTACGATTGACGTACCTCAACAAATAAACATTAAAAATATTTTTAAAACAAACAAATTAAATAAAATATAACTTTTATATATTCAGACGAATGTATATATCAATTCAATAAGACGATAAATGCAGTGCATAAATACAACATACCCGAGCCAAAGCAATATAGGATATGTGCATTGCAGATACTAGATACAGTCGATTAAAATTATAAAATATAATAAAATTTGTTTATTTATATTATATATATTTGTTTTAATAAAAATATTAACTATATATTACTTGATAATATAAAATATAAATTTAGTGAAAGATGCAGTTTTATTGAAGCAATTAAAATTTTTGACTTACGAGCATATTCAAGAGTTTTTTATTTGGTTTTTAAATTCTTATCATCTTCTTGTTAAATAAATATTTTAATGATCTTTTCAATTAATTATGTCAAATTAAAAACTTTAAAAAGATATCAACACACTATTAGTGAACCATATGTATTTGTTTTTGCACAAGACCAAAGAATTTTTTCTAAAAATACTTTTAGTATATTTTCTAACTCCTTTCAATTGTTTAAAAAAGTTTTCTTTAATTACTAATTAATTAAATTAATTATTTTAAATTAAAAAACCACTTACCTTTCTAAATTCCTGTACAAATGTGGTAACCATTGCTTGTATAGCAGCTGCTCTCATCGCATGCAAAGCCAAATGTTCTCCACCACGTAGGTTCAGTTGCAATGAAGCCGGTCTTGGCAGTGTCACAGCATTTTGTACATCATTCAATGATATCGCTTGAACCACTATAAGATTATCAGCATCACGTCGAGCCAAATATATGCCATTGTGCGATATAGCCAATACCGAAACTTCGGAGAATTGTGGCGCACCTTGCACAGCAAATAAGCGTGCGAAATACAATGGCCAACCTCGTGCCATGTCAATCAAATTTCGTTTAACAATTGCACGCACGTTTTGACCACGTATACTTTCTATAGTCACACCATGACTGCTAAGCATATTAATAGCTGCAGTCTTTTCTTGTGCCGTTAGACGTAAACACGGCGTTATATTGAACACATCAGATACAACTTGTGCGAAAAGTAAATCAAGCGCGCCTGGTGATCCAATTGCCTCATTGGGATGGAAGACTTCTTTGCGTACACGCAATTTCCATGGCACTCGATTGTACGTTAGACAAGCTGTTGCGGGATTTTTAAAGGATACAGGCGCTGGTACTGGCGCTGGTATGGCTGGTAATGGCCATTCCTCACCCACATCCGTTTCGGTTTCATCGCGTCTTGTGCTCTGTGAGATTGTTGTCGATGCAGATGATTTACGTTTTCTTTCTTTTTCATATTTTTGTGCCATATGTGTTCGAAATGTTGCTGGAGTTGCAGCTGTTGCTTTCGTACTAACAGGTGATGATTGTTTACTATATGGTAGCGGAGATGGATACGAAAACTTTTGTTCACTTGCATTGGAAATTACTGAACGGTCGTGACGTTCTACTGTAGCTGTAATTACTTTTGGAGGTGCTGGTTGGTAGACTTTATTACTTTCTTTTTCACGTTCTACTTGTCGTATTTCATATATGCGTTCACGTTTTTCACGCTCCTTTTCTCTTTCACGATCGCTACCACTTGAAGCTGGACCTTCAACCTCGGTACGATCCCATACTGACTCCGAAAAATCGTCGCGATCACGTGAACGAGAACGTGATCTAGATCGTTCGCGATCGTTTTTAATTTCCTTTTTAAAACTCGTTTCATACACCATGTCAAGTTTGGCTGCTTGAGTTCTACCCCAAGAATCATAGTTTTCTTTTGTTTCCATTGTCTCATGCCAGTTGTGTCGTGCACCAAAAGTATCTCGTTCTTGACGTTGTATAAATGCAGGTACATCTTTACTGCCTGCACCACGGTAATCTATTTCGTCTTCAAGCTCAACACGTACATTGTGTGGCGGACTCTTAGGCACTGGTGGTGGAGCTGGTGGTGCAACGGTTGGTGGCCGAATGGGTGGTGGAGGTGCAGGTACAGTCGGTGCTGGTGGTACGACTGTGGGCCAAGTCGGTGGTGGTGATAATTTTCCTTCCATTCGTTCAATCTGTGTACGCACTGAAGGTGAATCTGGTGCGTTACTCATATTAGCAAAATGACCACTCAATTGCTGCTGTAGCATCAGCTTACGTGTATCTTCTAATTTGGCTGGTGTACGTTGCTCGGATTTTGTACTGACTGTTGAACGTATGGAATGACCAGCTGTGACTTGTTCTAGCCGTTGTCGCATTTCAGAACTTAATTTCAATTTACCTACACTACCTGGTGGAGGTCTATCAGCACCAATTTCAAAGCTTTTCTTTGCAATTTTCGTTGTAACTATTGTTTGCTGCTGTTGTTGTTGTTGCTGTTGTTGTTGCTGCTCAATTATTTCCTTATTGAAATTCTTGCCGCCACTTGTTTCTATTTTTATCGATGTGCGCACCATATGGGAGGTGTGAACTGGCATACTGGCCGGTGGAGACGGACTTTTTGAAGTTTCAATTTCAAACTCCTCCCATTCAATAGCTGAGCCAGTTAATGAACCATTACTGCTGTGAAACTGTGATTGTGGTGTATTTTTTCTTTGATTTTGTCGCATCTTGAATGCAAAAAAGTCTTCCTCAGTTTCAAATTGTGGTCCATCTTGTGGTGGAGGCCAACGCCATTTACCAATACGTACAGTTTTAGCTCGGCCATAGGGATCGAGAAAGTGACGCGTCTCAGACGGATCTTTACCCTCAACTGGTGGTGGCATTGGTGGAGGTGGCGGTGGTGGAATCAATGATCCGCCACTATCACTAGAAGCTTTTCTATTACGTTCACTTTCAGAAAACTGTGAAATTCTGTTTTTGACACTTTGTTTCCGTACATTATTGACATTATTGGTTACACTATTAGTTGTTACAACTGATTTGTTGATGCTCGTTGTGGAATTCGTTGTTTGCTGCATTGAGTTGAGAACTGGTGGAAGTGGTGCAAGAGGCGGTGAAGTTGTACCAGCAGTTCCGTCTTGTTGACTAAGCAAAGTCTGCAAAGCTTGGTTTTGTGCCAAAAGTTGCTGTTGAATTTGTAAATTTTGCGCCATTGCGGATTGAAGAAAAGCTCTTTGCACCTGATGTTGATAGACGTTTGGATCTGCGTCTGTCGGTATATTTATCATTTGCATTAAGTTCTCAGAATTGCCTACCAATGGACTTATGGGACTCACAATTGGAGAACTAACAAAGCCTGAACTTGTAGTACTCTGCGTGTGTGTAGTGCCACCGCCTTTAATAGTTTCGATAAGATTTGCTTGTTCGGTTAAAATTTTAATTTCTTCGTTGACAAATATCGGTTTGAAGAGCCCAGTTATGTACTCGTCTAAATTTCCATTAGGTTTCTCACCCTGCTGGTCACCACCTCCTTTAATTTTTTTACTTATAACCGCAGCACTCCAATCAAGCTTATCTTCGGCATCAATTAGATCGGGTGCTTCTAGAAAATCAAAGTGGTCTGTTGTTTCTGAACTAGTATTACATGTTGCAGTTCTGCCCCCTCTTATGCTTGCCGCCAATGATCGTGCATCAGATAGTTCATCCAGTGAACCATCCAAAACTGGGCTGAATAAATCATCAAGAAATTGATCAACATCTGAAGCTTGCGAAGGTACCCGCACCCGACGGACATGTGATGCTAAGGAAGGCGCTTCACTTGTATCAGACATAGCTGATGAGCGCGTAGCATATTCCGATTTATCCATATATTTACTTGAATGTGAGCCAGCGTGAGAACGTCGGCCGGCATGTTGTGATTTTTGATAACGGGGACCTGGTTCTTTATTCATAGGTGCCAAACGTTCTGCTGAATGATATCGGTCATTAAGACGACTTTCAGAGAGACCCAAATTAGTTAATGGTTCGGGTTTGGGTATTGGATCAAGTTCAGTTGCATCGCCTGCCAACAAATCATCTAATGATTTAGATCTAGATTTTTCTTGCTCAAAATATCTTTCATTTAGTGCTGAACTTCTAGAAAGTAAATCACGCGAAGTTTTTCTAACAGGCGGATCAATTGGAGGCTCTGATAATGGTGAGTCTCTCGATGATGTTGATTTGGTTTTTGGTGGTTCCGGTGGAGGTACTTGAGGTCGCCTAGGACTACTGACTTCACCTTCCGGCATAAGTGTTCTTGTAAATTTAGCACCTGATTTCATTAAATCGCTACGAACGGCTGGGAATGCTGGACAAAGTTCTTTTTCAGCTATTAAATCTAGCACGTAATCTAAGCCACAAGAATCAGTCACCACTTTTCCATCATCCAATATAATCGTCCAACCACGATTTGATATACCTAATGTTGATATAGCTAATGATGCAGCTTCTTCACACGAAGTCCATGAATCAATCGCTACAGTTTGAATAACATCATCCGGCAGTGTCAATGCAACCGCAATATCTGATAGTCTTGATATAGCACGCCATTCTACCCAAGATGGCACAAAAGTGCGACATGCATTTGTTTGCGAATACCCTGTATTACGCAATATTTTCTTTAACAAAATTTCTTTCATAGATATTGGAGCATTATCTGCAATGAATTTCATAAGGTATTTGCTAAATGCAGGGCCTGGCTGGAAGCATGACAGGCATTGAGCCATAAGCTGCCAAATACGCAGAGCTTGTACTTCATCTGCGTTATAGGCTTGATTACATAGCTGCACAAGTATTTCATCCCGGAGACCACGTGAGGAGAGACCTTTATGCACAATATAATCCGACAGTATTTTTTCCTTATTGCCATCTAAATTTTTGTCATTTGTCCAACGCAAAATTAATTTGAAAACAGCTAAAGCGTCCTGAAAATCTTGATCTCGAGAAGCAGCTCGTGACAAAAAAGGTGTAGAGATAGGTTCACGTCTCGGCGACAAACGTAACCCATTGCAATATACCGAACTAAATTTACCAAAAGCAAATTGATCCAAGTCTTTGGGTATGTCAGATGCTACAGGCGGCCCTGGTACTGTACCTACAACTTTAACAAGATGTCGATCTCCATGAAGCGGAGTCCACCCTTCGGTTTTTGAGAATATGAATGCCAATTCAGCAGGTATATCAAGATATGCAATTTGATTACGTTCCATCGTTTCTTTGGCAATTCGTTTAGCTTCTCTTTCTTTTTGTGCTTTTTGTGCCTCCAAACGCCTCTTATATTCAGCACGTAACTTCACCACGCGCTTACGATCCTTTTTGCCTCGCCATAGTGCTTGTGCTTTGACTGCTGCTTTACGTAGGTGCACATATTTCTTTTTATCTCTATATCCACGCCACTTCGATTGAATTCTAATAGCGGCCCTCTTCTTTCGCAAAGCCACACGACGAGCTAACATGCCGCGCACATTCTTTTGTATGACAATTGCTGCTGTTCTGAGGCGATCTGAGCGTCCACTTTCAAGCGAACGATGTAAAGCTTCACGCAGAAATACACGTGTGGCACCCAGTTGGAAATCAGGACCTTCTATACCCGTATGCGGCAAGGATTCTAAGAGAATTCGACATAACTCACGATATGGTGTACCACGCGGTAATGGCGTATGCATTAGATGCCGATAACGTTCCACAAAATGTTGAAATCTCAATCGAACAGGATAACCCTTCTGTCTAATTTGAATCGTATCCAACATGCCAAGGTAGCGTAATTGTTGTAAAACGCATGGCATATCCATTTTCAATGCATGTTTTTCATTATTCGGTTTTATGCATCGTACAAACCATGGATTACAGCGACCCATTGACTGCAGCAACTGCTGGAGAGAATCCGAAAATCTAGCAGCTACTGTTGGCGTACGTGGCTTCATTGTGACAAATCTACCGTTATTACCTTTCGGTAATGTTTTACCAGAGTCACGCTGTGCACGCAATTGTTTGGTGAGATCAGCAACCAATTGCAACTTACTAGATGCAAGTAATTCGAGCACATCTCCTCGTAAAGCGTCACGATTCTTATCTAAAAACCCATCAACGCAGTACCAAACTTGACCCGCGTAGTGCGTTATACCAAATTCTTGTGCACCTATACGTGGACGTGAATATAATTCATTGAGTGCATGGTTGTAATGGCACTTTTCTAGAAAACTCATGTCAGAAGCACGTGGAAAATTTGATTCGTCGTCTAATAAATGGAAAATGCCTACAGGTTTCTTAGCAAGCAAATGTATTACTGGCAGGTTATCATCCCACGTTAAAGGTGTCCATTCAAGGCGCTCTCGGGAGTACTCCGCTTGTTCTAATTTGAAAACGTGTTTATTAAAGTAAAGTTGCAAGTTTTCGTTCGCATAATTTATGCAAAGTTGCTCAAATGAGTTTTCGGCCAAATCCTCAAAGCCAAATATATCAAGTATAGAAATACGATGTGCGTCATGGGTGCCACCTTTCTGTACAATAGAATTAATACGTGATACCAGCCAGTTGAATAAACCGGCATATAAGGCTTTTGCAAAGGCATCCCTTGAGTCAAGCGCTTGATCAATACCAAGTGGTGTGTGCAAACGTTCTGAACGCGCCTCTGTAATGCGACTAGTTAAAGCACGATGTAGACCTTCAGCTGAAATATGTAATAAATGTGCTGCCCATTTAATTTCAGCATCTGAACCAACTTCAACACCTTCCTGACCATGACGTAGCTGTCTACGGTGAAAGTAGACATTGCCCAAATGCAAGACGGACGCTAAAACGCGTATAATACCTTCCCGTTCACCCTCTAAAACACCTAAGACTTGCATAGCGCTTTGTAATGAATCCCAATCAACTCTACCCGGTGCACAATCTGTAGCTCCTTGATTTAAATAGAAGTACTTATCCGCCTCCAATAAACCATATTTGTTTCGTTCCGCTTCCGATAAACCACCGAGCATCTCATAAAATACGTGGTAATTACGTTCACCTGGCGCTTGTGTAACAATACGTGATTTCTCGAGAAGATATTGTGTGATCTTAGCGCCAACAATGGCACCATTTTTAAAGTAAACTTCTAAATATTTGCCAAAGCGTGAACTGTTATCATTTCGTGCGGTGCGTGCATTACCAAATGCTTCCAATAATGGAGCAGCTTCTAAAATTTGTTCAGTGATAACAGCTGATGCAGAACCACCACCTGGTACAACTGCAGCTAAATACTGCATAACTAATTTGGTTGACTCCGTTTTACCTGAGCCCGATTCACCCGATATGACAACCACCTAGAGGAGAAAAGTAAAAATTAAAGATAAATTTAAAAAATTTATTGACATGATTTTTAAGACTTACTTGTGGCGATGGTAAAGCAGCATGTGCTGCAGCACCAATTGCAAACAAATGTGGTGGCATGGTGCCCAAGGGTTTACCTGCATACTGTTTTGCTACTTCCAATCCATAAGAATCCGGAAACATTTTATATGGATTAACAGCAATTAGTATGCTACCGGCAAATGTATATATTATGCCCTTATCGTAACGTATTCTTAAATTCCAAAGCAAAGAAGCCTCATGCAAATCATCTAAAAGCGTCATATCCTCCACGCCAGTACTGCCCAGGTCTTGACGTGGTCTTAAGTTACCTTCGCCTGGTTGAAGCGCAAATGTTTGTGGCTAAAAGAAACGATTAAAATTAATAAGAATTTCAAATACAATAAATATTATTTAATCTTAATAATGAATAATAACGAATCGATATCAACTAATAACACACATATTTTGCTATGACATTACTGCAAAGCATAGAAAGCTTTTTGACGCTTTGCGGATAACGATTTTTCTGTTTAAGCGCTTTATCGCGTAAA